TTTCTAGCAGGGTTTGTCCAGGCAGACGTGGTATCAGAGGCTTGCAGAGAGTGATTGCAGAGGAGGGGTGGGAATATGTTCTATCATGCAAACACAGCTGGGATGGGAGTGGAGAATATTTTCTTTTTCTTTTTTTTTTTAAACAAGGTAATCAGAGGGCTTAACATTTCCTGCCCAGCAACTGGGCTGCATTCTACAGTGTGTTACTGTTTGAAGTCTGCCACAGACCTGGAGATATTTACTCAAATGCAAATGAGCCAGTTAGGGAAAGTTTTTTTTACTTTCCCTTTTTTGTAATTACTGTGGATAGCTCAGAAACCAGGTGCAACTGCTACAAAACAAATTAAAAATGGTTAAATAGAATAGCAGAGGCATAAGGGACCTGGTAAAAAATGCTGATTGCATGTTTCCTTCTTGGGTTTTTTTCCTTACTCGCTGAGTGATGCGCCTATGCCAACTGCACAAGTTTAGGTCCTGTTTCAGTGGAAATCTGTTCCACAAACATCTCCAACAAAGCCCTTCATTTGCCTGCAAGACCTACAGACTGCTTTAGGCCCACGGCTGACACTTTATAAGTGGAATGAGAGCTGCCACCCTCACCCGTCTGACCTCAGCACATGAAAACATTAACAATGTTTTTTGTGTTAGGAGCAGTACATCAGCAGCACTGCAGGAGTGCTAGAAAGTGGCTCAGCTGCCCACATTAAAGGAGATACCTTTCTCGTCCAGTCCTGGCTTCACAGAGTCTGGGACCAGGCTTGGTCAGCCTTCAACCTATCTTTCTTCTGTAGGAATAATAGGGGTTTAAGGGGAAAGGGAGAGGAGTTAGACCCAGGGGCTGAGGAGGAGTCTGCAGGAATAGTCCCAGCTCCGTACTGCGTTGCATTCTATGAGAACGTGCCACATTTCAGGCTTTTCCCTGTACCCTAGAGTGGTTAGGAGCCCTCTCAGGGGGCTTCTTCTCTGAAGAATTGCTTCCTAATATGAACAGCAGAAAAATCAGGCTCTAATGTTTTATTAATTTTTCCCTAAAGTGATGAGGGGTTAGCATTTTTACAGACCATCTCAAATATTTGTTTGGCACAAAGTGTCCCTTACATTTCACCTGTGGCTTTTTGCCAGAAGCCGCTTGCGCATGGTTAGTTCTGTGTACCCAGCTGCAGCCCTTTCATGTGAAAAGCTTTTTGTGCAAAAAAACTCAGGATGAATTATCAAAAATAGAAGTCTACATTCATGTTCCTAAATCCTGATGTAGGCACGTTAGCAGCATAAACAGTATGTAAGTATGGCTTTCCTTAGAGCTGTTGAGGTCTCAACAGTCGGGGCAGTGAACTCAGTTAGACTTACACTCCAAAAACCCCTTGAATCGTCACAGCTAGTCTGGCAATGAAATTTCTAGAAGTTAGGGAAGACGTGATCTTTAGTGCAAAGTCCAACTTCTGCTATCACTTCTGCAGCTTCTTGCTTTCGTTACGTGCCTGGGCAATGTGAGCAGGTTTAACAACTCCAGTGAAGTCCATCTAATCTCGTGGTGCAGTAACGCAGCCTCAGTGTGACTGACACCAACCACTTCTTGCCCCACTATGAGCCTAAATGCAATTCTGTGAGACAACTCTATGACCCATAACAGAGAAAAAACAAATTATTGATTACTGAGATACATTTCAAGTTTGAGGAACCTGAATTCCGCTGTCATATTTACCAATTAAGTGGGCACGTTCATCTGGCTGTAGGCTGCAACTGGCCTTGTTCTATATACTGTACACATTATCTAACTTGCTTCAGCTGGGATTGATAAACATTGCAGAATTTTCCTAGTGTTGAGGGTCATACTCTCAGCTGTTCTGTGCATTTATACTGCATTCTGGGAGCTTTACTAAGGTACTTTCTCCTATTGAGAAATAGAAACATTCTGCTGTTCAGTAAAGGCAACAGAAGTCTCTCTGCCCTTGTGCACCACAACCCTCCCGTGGGTGGAATGAGTTGTGATGCCATCTGAGTCCTGGCTCCAGCCAGGTGCTCTGACTCTTGGTAGAAGCCAAACTTGCCCTGTATTTTTACCTTCATAACTTGCAGAAGCTTCAAGTTTTGAGTGAGCAGTTAAGATTAAAAAATACGGTATTTAAATCACCTGTGTGACTCAATTTTTGCCACTGCAAGATGATAGTTTTGAAGATCAATAATAGTAAGAATAAATAAAGTTGTTCAACATATGACCTAGTAAATTCTTGCCAGTCAATCCTTTTCATGTACTCTTTGAATTTTTTTTTCAAAAGCTTTCTTAACATTTCCTGCCCAGCAACTGGGCTGCATTCTACAGTGTGTTACTGTTTGAAGTCTGCCACAGACCTGGAGATATTTACTCAAATGCAAATGAGCCAGTTAGGGAAAGTTTTTTTTACTTTCCCTTTTTTGTAATTACTGTGGATAGCTCAGAAACCAGGTGCAACTGCTACAAAACAAATTAAAAATGGTTAAATAGAATAGCAGAGGCATAAGGGACCTGGTAAAAAATGCTGATTGCATGTTTCCTTCTTGGGTTTTTTTCCTTACTCGCTGAGTGATGCGCCTATGCCAACTGCACAAGTTTAGGTCCTGTTTCAGTGGAAATCTGTTCCACAAACATCTCCAACAAAGCCCTTCATTTGCCTGCAAGACCTACAGACTGCTTTAGGCCCACGGCTGACACTTTATAAGTGGAATGAGAGCTGCCACCCTCACCCGTCTGACCTCAGCACATGAAAACATTAACAATGTTTTTTGTGTTAGGAGCAGTACATCAGCAGCACTGCAGGAGTGCTAGAAAGTGGCTCAGCTGCCCACATTAAAGGAGATACCTTTCTCGTCCAGTCCTGGCTTCACAGAGTCTGGGACCAGGCTTGGTCAGCCTTCAACCTATCTTTCTTCTGTAGGAATAATAGGGGTTTAAGGGGAAAGGGAGAGGAGTTAGACCCAGGGGCTGAGGAGGAGTCTGCAGGAATAGTCCCAGCTCCGTACTGCGTTGCATTCTATGAGAACGTGCCACATTTCAGGCTTTTCCCTGTACCCTAGAGTGGTTAGGAGCCCTCTCAGGGGGCTTCTTCTCTGAAGAATTGCTTCCTAATATGAACAGCAGAAAAATCAGGCTCTAATGTTTTATTAATTTTTCCCTAAAGTGATGAGGGGTTAGCATTTTTACAGACCATCTCAAATATTTGTTTGGCACAAAGTGTCCCTTACATTTCACCTGTGGCTTTTTGCCAGAAGCCGCTTGCGCATGGTTAGTTCTGTGTACCCAGCTGCAGCCCTTTCATGTGAAAAGCTTTTTGTGCAAAAAAACTCAGGATGAATTATCAAAAATAGAAGTCTACATTCATGTTCCTAAATCCTGATGTAGGCACGTTAGCAGCATAAACAGTATGTAAGTATGGCTTTCCTTAGAGCTGTTGAGGTCTCAACAGTCGGGGCAGTGAACTCAGTTAGACTTACACTCCAAAAACCCCTTGAATCGTCACAGCTAGTCTGGCAATGAAATTTCTAGAAGTTAGGGAAGACGTGATCTTTAGTGCAAAGTCCAACTTCTGCTATCACTTCTGCAGCTTCTTGCTTTCGTTACGTGCCTGGGCAATGTGAGCAGGTTTAACAACTCCAGTGAAGTCCATCTAATCTCGTGGTGCAGTAACGCAGCCTCAGTGTGACTGACACCAACCACTTCTTGCCCCACTATGAGCCTAAATGCAATTCTGTGAGACAACTCTATGACCCATAACAGAGAAAAAACAAATTATTGATTACTGAGATACATTTCAAGTTTGAGGAACCTGAATTCCGCTGTCATATTTACCAATTAAGTGGGCACGTTCATCTGGCTGTAGGCTGCAACTGGCCTTGTTCTATATACTGTACACATTATCTAACTTGCTTCAGCTGGGATTGATAAACATTGCAGAATTTTCCTAGTGTTGAGGGTCATACTCTCAGCTGTTCTGTGCATTTATACTGCATTCTGGGAGCTTTACTAAGGTACTTTCTCCTATTGAGAAATAGAAACATTCTGCTGTTCAGTAAAGGCAACAGAAGTCTCTCTGCCCTTGTGCACCACAACCCTCCCGTGGGTGGAATGAGTTGTGATGCCATCTGAGTCCTGGCTCCAGCCAGGTGCTCTGACTCTTGGTAGAAGCCAAACTTGCCCTGTATTTTTACCTTCATAACTTGCAGAAGCTTCAAGTTTTGAGTGAGCAGTTAAGATTAAAAAATACGGTATTTAAATCACCTGTGTGACTCAATTTTTGCCACTGCAAGATGATAGTTTTGAAGATCAATAATAGTAAGAATAAATAAAGTTGTTCAACATATGACCTAGTAAATTCTTGCCAGTCAATCCTTTTCATGTACTCTTTGAATTTTTTTTTCAAAAGCTTTTAAAATTCCAAAGACCCCAAAGCAGTGGTAAGTTCTGTGTCATGGCCCTCATGAGTCTCTGGAGCCCAAGGTCACGTCCACATCAGCTGCTGTTTTGCTCCCTGATTTCCCTCCAGGCCCTTTCTCTTTTCCTCCAAACCTAGCTCACATAACTGACTAACATTATTATTCCTCATCTGAAGTCCTAGATGAGTTCTTAAAGCTGGAAGAGATCATATCTGTCTGTGAACACCTGTGTTGAGGACAGATGAAATAGATAAAGTAGGACTTGTGAGGAGCCCTCTTTGCTTCAAGTGTTGTGTGGTGGTTCGCTGGGGCAGTAGAGCTAACGTAGCCTGGGGGGAAGTCACACCAGCAGAATTAGTGTCAGGATCAGGAGTGACCTTTCTTGAACCTGGCAGCAGGTTTGAGGGGAGAATTAGCACAGGTTCCCTTTCTGAGAAGTTACTAAAAAAAAGAGAAACTGTTTCATTGAGATGCAGCTGGACTTGAAGAGCTTCTTGCAAGTTGCTGTAGCTAACCCTTTCCTCGCAAGTTGCTGTAGCTAACCCTTTCCTCAGGTGTGGCTTTAATGGGCTTTATCCCTTTGTGTTTTTCAGGTGGCGTGCGTGGGATAGCACGAGGTGGTGTCGTGGGGCTGACGCTCACCGGGCTCTACGCTCTCTACAACAACTGGGAGCACATGAAGGGCTCCATCGCCCGGCAGTCCCTCTGAGCAGGGCAGCCAGCGCCGGGCAGAGGACACGCTTGCATCGTCACCAATCAAACCAGTTGCAAGATCTGTCTGGTGCCCTTTCCTATTTTATTTACAATTAGTGTGAAACCGAAGGAAGTTATCCTGGAAGGAACCTCTTGCCATCATTATAGCTGGACTGGCCCTCTCCTTCCCGCCAGCCAGTCGCTGGAGAGGCAGCAACATCTGTTGGACCCGCGAGCGAGCGGAATGGCCACCTTGCTAGAGTCTCCCTGCCACGCTCAGCAGCTAGCCCTGGGCCAGCACTACGAGGCATGCTCCAGTCCCCCAGCTGTACCTGCTGCACTGCCAGGTTGGTTGGTTGGTTGCCTGTACTACACCCCCGTGGTGCAGCGTAATAAAGGCTGTGCCCATAGAGCCCTTCACTGCGGGCTTTCAACATCCAGAGCCAGGGGGAGCCTCAGTGGCAGCTGGCACAGGGCAAGGCTTGTTCATCTGGCAGCGCAGGGTAAGCTGTAAAAAGGGACGTCATCATTAATAAAAAGGGTGGTATTTACGCATTGCCATTTCTATGCTTTGCTGTTCCTGCTGCTGACAAGGCAAAAGTGTGCTGCATCCAGTGACTCTTACGTACGGTTGTTTTGAAGGACTGATGGATAAAGTCCTGGGGGAGTTAGTGGGTGAGGGGAAAGGCACTAACAGGGCTAATGTCCCCTGATGCAAGGTGACACTGAGGAGTATCAGGGGCTGGCTCTGGTTCCTTATTTGCTCTAATAAATAAGGAACAGGTTGTTTCTGGGTAGAGTACAGTTGCTGTTGCGGAACAACTGTCATTGGGTCATCAAAACTCTTGAGTGCTCCAGGATCTCAGAACTCATTTAGCCAACAGTTAGAAAACAAGCAGTATAAATACTCCTCTTATTGCTAATTACAGGACTTTTAATTAGTGACAAGTTTCCCCCCTGCCCCAAGAAACATTGTAGGTTATTGGCAGAATGAAGAGACATGATGAACCTACACCTTCTCCGGTGTTAAAATTAAACCACATACGAAGCATTTTTTGCACATAAATTAAACAGTAAATTGTGAATTGGTTCAGTAATTAGAGTTACTGTGTAACAGCTCATTCCTTCATTTTTTAAATAATTAAACAGGTAAATAATTAAACCAGGTCTGACATGGGGGAAGGCAGGGCAAGGGAGAAACAAGAAACTTACTGCTTAATAGATAACAAGGCAAAACAAGAGTTTACTTTGCATTGTCCCTGCTGAAACAGCTCTCAACGACTACATTGCACCCAACACAATAAAAACAACAGAAAAGGCAGTAGAAGGAAGGCAGGAGCTCTTACCTGCCTCTGAGGAGAAATACAGCTTTGCAAAGAAGCCTCTTCAGGAGGAAGTGACCCCTGATACGGGCATTTTAAAGAGCAAGTGCTGCAGCTAACGAGCCTTCACAGTTGAACTCAATTAGCTTTGCTTGGATACCAGGCCAGAGCAGATGCTTTAAGCCAGCACTTTGCTAGATGTAGCATAAAGGGAAGAAACCAGGCCTTTTCTCAGCTGCTTTTGTAAGCACTGCTTTTTGTTAAGCTTTTTGTTCCACTCTCTTTTAGCGGGAGTGTGTTACTGTTGAGGTGTCAGAGCTGGACCTTCTAACGTGCATTTTTCAAGGGCTGTGCCACCAAAGAAAACATCCCCTACACACAGGCTGCAGAAAGGAGACATAGGCACCAGCTGTGCAGCGCTGGCATGTGGGACACCAGGAAAACGTGTGCAGTTTCTTCCTGAGCTGCTTTTTCTCTCCCTGTTGGCATCAGTGAGTTCCTCCCTGCCCATGTTTCTTGGTTACCGTTAGGGACCATTGGTCATTCTTTTACAGTCCTATGCCCTTGACAACTCTGGATGAAGGACTGGTAGCTGCTGCAGGGGCTGATGGTGGGCAAGGGTTGCTTTTTAAGCATCAAGAACTTTGTAATGCATCTTTTAGGTTTTCTAGACCCTTTTTCAGGACTGAAATATGACTCAGGAGCTCTCTGCCCCTGGCTGAAGTGGGAAGACTGAAGCTTAACAAGTGTCTTTCCTTCAGGTGCATTGGGGATAATGTAGAAACAAGCTTTTTTAAGTTCAAAGTTGCCACAACCTCAAGGTTGAGCTGACTCCTGAGACAACATAGCATGTTATCTGGTCAGCAATACCCTCCAGTTTCCTGGAATTGCTTGGCTCAGGGGCAGAGCTGAATGTATTTTTCTGAAATAAGTAAATAAGTAAATAACCAAAAAAAGCTTTGATTGATAACCTGCTTGTATATGGAGAGATCCATAGCTTGAGCTGTGAAATAGAGGCAGCAGTGAGGGAGTGAGCTGTAAGTGTGGAACCCAGAGAACAGCTTCAGGATGTTTTATGGCAGGACTTGACCGTGTTCCCAATTTAATGGCAAATGATCAGTATAAAGTTGCTACTTAAAGCTGTGACCATATCCGAGTTCAGTAGGAATAAAAGGATGTAAAGTCAAGTTGCAGACAGGATTTGTCAAGCTGCTCGCAGCCCTCCCACGCGGTGTCACATCAAGGAGAGCAGGGGACACCTTGGCCGGCCCGAGGCGCGGTGTTTGTCCTCCCAGACACGGCTCCGCGTTGTGCTGGAAGATCCCAGACAGGTTTCCGTGCTGCGGCAGCACGGGAGGGAGGCTGAGGGTGCAGGTGTAACAAAAGCTTTTTTTGAGTCTTGTAAAGCTGCTTTTGTGTGGTGTTGGGATGGGGGAAAGGCAATTTCACCATTCCCTGTGAGCAGGTGACTGCTCTTACAGTTGGGGGAATTTGGTGAAAAATCACTGGTGGCGTGGTAGGACGCTCCAGCTTCCTCCATGAAGCAGAAGCTGCTTCTGAAAACAGGAGGGAAACGTATGCTGGGGCAGAACAATGATCCAGCGTTTGTAGCTTGTGTCCTCTGACTAATCTAGGACTGAAAAAGGAGGAAAAAATCCTTTTTTATGCTCTGACAGCAGGCTACCCCTGTGCGTAATAAACTCCAGTGAGGCAATGGCTGTGTTCCAAGTGGAGTTTTGTGTCCCATGCGAGCGTTGCCCTGTGCTGTTGAACAGCAGGCACCGCAGTGACACCAGGGAGTACCACAGCCTCTTTTGGTACTGGAACAGCACCGTCAGTGCCAGCCTCGTGTTCCCCTGGGGAGTCTCCTGCCCCGCCAGACAGCTGCCAGGCTTGTGCCACGGCAGGTCCGAGTTGGTGTCTGGTGCCCCAGGAGCAGCCCTGCTCCGGGCAGGGAAGGACCTTCCTGCCTGGCTGTTGAAAAGGTGCTGCAGTAGCGTTGGCTCCCACCTTTGGGAAGGGTTTACCGGGGCTCCACGTGTGCCCAGTGGAGGAAATAGCAGTTTATTTGTTCACTGGCCCAGCCTGTACCCTCTCCCCCAGTGTCTGCAGCCCAGGCCTTGGCAAGTCTCTAGCCATAAAGCTCCAGGCTTTCACCGACACACAGGTTATGTGACCACAAAGGGCTCTGGTTATTTCACACTTCTGTGCGTTAAGATTTGTTACAGAAACTTGGCTGAGGGAGAAGCAGGAAGTAACTGCTCCAGCTCCACAGGGAGGGGGAGAAATGGAATAAAGTGTTCCTCAGTACAAGGCATCGATCTGGTATCTCAGAAAGTTCAAAGAAAGGCCTCCAGATGTTTGAGAAGCCACAAATGGCGTTCTCTGCTCCTGCTACTCTGTCTTCCTCATCTTTGGAAGACCTTAAGTATTTTTATCCCTGTCTTTGAAACTTAAACATTCAGGATACGTGTGCAGGAGTTCTGCATGTGGCTGCTCCTAACAAAGAACCTCTAGTCTGTTTATAAAAACCGTGTGTATGCACACCCACACAAGAATTCAAGGTGTTGTGCTTGAAAGGCTGCCAGGCCCAGCTGCGGGCTCTCTCTCGAGAACGTTCTCTTAATGCCCCGATGCAGCCTGCAGTTTAAAGGAATGGAAAATCCTCAAAGGAGGAACAAAACATGCAGGGAGTCCGATGCTCAAAAACCAGGAGAGCAGAAGAGGAACCAACTTCCAGTTGTGCAGCCAGAGCAGAGATGTTCTACAGCCCTGGGAGAAGACAACTGAAGGGCACTAAAATCCAGAAATCCTCCTGAAGTATTCCAATGATAAGAAACAAACATGTCATTTTGTCTAAATCTGTCTTTCTCCCAGAGCTAAACCATGTGCCTCCAGGGTGGGGGTTGAGGCAGAGCTGCCACAGCAATTAAATAGGAGTTAACTGGGCAACCTGCCCCAGCACTTCTCGTTCACCATCTTGCCAAGGAGACGTACCACAGCTTTGGTTGCAATTATTTTTTAATGGAAAAGAAGACTAATCAATGTTTTACATAAATATCAGTTAGTGATAACAAGTTGAGTAAGTAAAGGAATACATACCCCCAAGTTTTAAAGGCTCATAATGAACGGACAAAATAGCACACACTGACAACTACAAGGAATTGTAAGAGGTGGGCTGCACGTCAATCACCTTCCTGTACCTTCAGCTGCTCACCCCGTGGGGCTATTGCTGGGGTTGGTCACCGCGCTGGCGTCCCAGGCAGCAACAAGGACACCCTCAAAGGGGAAAGAGAACTTGGAAAACCTATTTGTGCTTCCAGCAGAAAGCTTCAGCCATGGAAGTACGAATGCCTCGGGTGGTCCACTGACATAAGCCCTTTCAGGGCCTGGTTTCAGATGCGCGGTGTCCCCCCCCCTCAGACTAAAAACATTTTAACCAAATGCCCAGGTTCTGTCAGTCGGGAATGTGTTCACACTGTAAAGTAGGACCAAGGTTGGATCTTGCTAATAACTTCTCTTCTACAGTGTTGTGAAGAACTGAAATCACTTTCATTGTGGGGCAGGTTGCGGGGCTGGGGAGAAGGGGAGGTGATTTTCATAGTCATTAAGAGCAGTTTGTTGAGTGGAAGATGCATCAGAAACAAGGTAACTTCACAGTTTTTCATGCAAGCCAACAGGCTCGACCCACGTTTCCATCCAACATCTCCACGGTCCTTCCTACGGGCTCAAAATGCTGAACACCTGAAGAGGTATTGCTCGTATGACCACAGGGACAGGGATCAGAGCCACTCGACCCCACTTTCATATGCACAGTAACATGGAAATCCACAGCTTAAATATCTTTAAAATGGATCAGTGGGAGCCACAGTTTGCCAAGTTAGTGTCTTCCCAACTAAACAGCACAACATCAGTGCGATGAGAAGGCATCTAATTCCCCAAATATTACCTTTAAATATTACGTGGCTAAGATGCCCGCTTTCCAGTGGTTTAGTCAATAAAAGCTCATTATGAATTATCAAAAACTAGCAGAAACACACATTTTGTCTTACAGCTTTTTCAGTGAGATTCAAATGGTTATTAAACGCTGGGGACACGGTAGGATCTCATCTATTGATGCATGAAAATTAACACCCTACCTTGTTCTCTGAATGGCTCACAAATTTGCAAGTAAAGTTTGCATTCCAAACTAAAGTTACCAGTTACGTGTCAGGTCCCATAAATTCATGTCTTTTTCAAACCCTGGACTACACACACGCAGCCGGGAGACGCACCGATACAAGATGCAAACGAAACCTTTAAAGTTAGCAACTGCTCAATAAAAGAAATTGCTTCCAAATACAGCCTAAGTCATCTCGCAACCCCGGTAAGCTGGAACCCGACTCATGGCAAAGCTGTAGCAGCTGAAAGGAAAGGCCACACTCCTGAAGTCCCTGCCGAAGGTGGATGTTCCACAGCACCAGAGAGATTCTGCTTTGTACTTGCACTGGCTTCAACATACTTCAAGTGACAACCCATCAAAGAAGATTCACGTAGTCCCAGAACAGATAGGAATTTACTAACACCTCTATAGTATCGGATCGCTTATGCTCAGTGGGTTTACATTTCAGAATTAATCATAACAAAAAGGCATCTTCTGCACTGTGACTCTGTTATATGAGTAAATCTTTCTTTTTGTTATAATTTTAGAAGAAAAAGCAGACGGCCAAACACAAACACAAGAATTCAGCTGGCTGCAGTCACTCAGCGTGATGTGCGATTCATCAGCAAGAAGGGGATGATTTCGATGCTTCCAGTTTTTCACATCTAAACAAACGTAAAATTAGGTTATTCTCTTTAATAAATGGAAAGCGACACTTTTTGGAAAAAACCAAAACCAACCCAAAAAAAAAATATATATGTATAAGACACTGCAGGGGAAAAAAAATTCTTACTAAAATACTTCCTAGAAGTGAGTATCTTGCCTTTTAGGGTTTGGAGGATGACTGCTTAGAAGGACTTTTTTTGTGAATTCCAAAAACAACGATAAAAAGCGTTATCTCGGCAGAAAGGAAAACCATGAGGTCAGCTGTAAATACATTGCCCAGATAAGAAAGAAGCTGCCTGGAAATTCAGACATTAATTGCATGTTCTAGTTACAACAAAAGTTAGCAAGATTTTAGCAAGCGTCAGTCAGTTGAAGAGTGATTTACTCAAGAACATAAGTGACTCCCTCCCTGGCTCGTGATCGAAAGAGGAAGAATAATGACATTTGGAATGGTCCAAGCTGCTAGGAATGTATATGGGGAGAAAATCAGAACGCTGTTAAACATGATGTTTGGAGAACACTGAAGACAAGAGCTGGCTGCCTGTATTCTGTAACCCCCCGTTACCTTCGGGCTCAGCTGCTGTAATACGTTCTGTGTCTCCTACCTGTAAAGGAGTCCGATACAGCCATTTTTCTGTATCTCCTTGGAGTTTCATACATGCAAAAAGGTCACAAACTGTAGGAAGGCCGAAGTCCTGAAAGAGAAGTCACATTAATTACTGATCTTCAAACACATTCAGACGTACCTTCAAATTCTGTCAAGTGCTCAATAAGAAAATAAAACTGACTTCAGAGTCTCTGAGATGAATACTTTCTCCATTTAATAAAACACTTCATTTGTGTTGAATGCTAGCCTTACTTCAGTAACTAAGTAATAATCACTGAAAACATTAAAAGAGCTAACAAACCCCAAAATTGTCAGTCAGTATTACCCAGAAGAGCTATGAATTTGGAAGAGAAGGCATGCATTACATTCAGTAAAACAATGAACCCAGCTCATTGGCTTAAGACACAGCAGTAACAAAGACTTAGGAACATGCTCACTTGTGCTTTTTTGCGTAGAAGCCATTTATCTTCTGCTGGAGGTGGGTTCACATTTTCTAGGTTGTTTGAAGTCAACACCCAACTGTTTACGTTCAAGGGAAGGTGGAATGGAGCCAAGAGGTCTAGAAAAGGATTCTTGAAACTATTATCTGCTTTTTCCCTACTCGCCTTTTCTTCTGCACTTTCTGCTTTGTGCTCAGAGGTGGCCAGCCAGCTTGTCAGAGGCCTTTCGAGCAATACTTTCCAGGGTTCTGCGATCTCTGCTGAATAATCTGCTTTCTCTGCACTAACGGGTTCCTCTGAGAGCTTCTGAGAGGGGTTAAGCCAGGTACTGGCAGCAGACTTGGTCTTCTCCTGCTCAGGGTTTGGTACATCTTTCTGGCTGACCGGAACGCCGTTTTTATCCTTCCCTTCTTTCTTCAGAAGCCATTTACAGAGAGCCTCTTTTCCACAGTTTTCATCACACACGCACTCTGAAAAGCTGGTGCACACCTCATTAGCTTTGCACACATCTTCCACCTTAAACGGGGCCTGAGGGTGCTGAAGCAGCCAAGCACTGACAGCAGATGGAGTGGGTGATTTCTTTCCGTCAAGATGCTCATTCAGGCACTTCAGATTTCCCAGGTTCTCAATTTCCACACTTTTGATCTGGCTGCCACGACAACTGGTACACGTTTCAGCTTTCAGGAGCCAATCATTCAAATTAAATTCTTCGCTGAAAGGCTTAAATTCATATTTCCATTTCTCATCTGAAGAAGCACCACTTCCGTTTTCTGTGCCAGGAGTAAGCAGCCAGTCAGAAAGGTCCATCTCTTCTTGTCCAAGTTCCTCCACTGGTTCAATAGTGAAAAAGGAGGAGTTGAAAGTGGAGGTGGAGTCCTTGCGGCCTGGGGAGTCTGTCTTCCCAGCAGCATCACGCTGTTGGTTCTGCAGGAGCCAGTTTTCCAAATCTTTCAGATTTCCCCAGGCTTGCTCAAAATAACAGACTTTGGAAGAATTTAAATCCTAGTAAAGACACATTGAAATGCATCTATTAACACTTAGAGCTTGGAGCATTCTGATAGTAAATGCACAAGTATTTGTTGAACACGAGGCAGAGTGAACAGAATTACAGAAGGTTTAATTCCCACCATATTCCCCCTGCAACTGGATACTGTGTTTTCCCCTTTATTAAAAGGCTCACCGGGCTGGGCTCTGACACACATTTTTGTGTAATCCATTCCTCAAGGTTGGTGCTGGGAACGTACGGAGCCGGGCAAACACCCCCAGGTCTGCTTCCCAGTAGCCAGTCAGCAAGTGAGGCACCCCCTGTCCCACACAACGTCTTCTGCTGAGAAAGAACGTTCTTGGTTATCAGAAAGTCTCATCTCACAATCTACGGTGAACATCAAAATAGGCATTCAACATAAATGCACTGATTGTTTTGTGATCCCAGATTCTTCAGGGAGCAAGAAAGGGAAGCAACAACTTCTACAACACACGGTTCTGATAGGTGTAACTGTGTTGGGTTTGGCTGAAGTAGAGTTAATTTTCTGCCCAGTAGCTGGTCTGGGGCTGGTTTGATTTGTGCTGGAAACAGCACTGATAACACGGGGGTGTTTTTGTTCCTGCTGAGCAGCGCTTGCACAGAGTCAAGGCCTTTTCTGCTCCTCACCCCACCAGCGAGTAGGCTGGGGGTGCACAAGCAGCTGGGAGGGGACACAGTGGGACAGCTGACCCCAGCTGACCAAAGGGACATTCCACGCCATGTGACACTGTGCTCAGCATGTAAAGCTGGGGGGAGAAGAAGGAAGGGGTGGGGGACATATAGAGTGATGGTGTTTTGTCTTCCCAAGTAACTGTTACTCGTGATGGAGCGTCCCATCAGGGAGGAGCGAGTGAGCAACTGCGTGGTGCTTAGTTGCTGGCTGGGGTCAAACCATGACATAGCCATAACCACCATAACCCTCCTTCTGACCACAATTCCTGTTACTGATTTGCTCCTTCACTGACACTGGTTATGTGCAGAGCCCAATGTAAGATTTCTCGTTAATTTCTGCATTAAAAGGAACGGGATAGTTCCAAGTCCTGAGTTGAAAACATCAAGGAATATTCAATTAAAAAGTTCTGACTGACAGTCACACTCCAAATTCACTTTCACACTATGTTCTTGCACATCTGTTCCTGGAGCAGCCAGAACATCAGATCACTAATGCTCACCACAGCGACTGTCACTGGCAACTCAAACATCTTAACAAACACAAGTCATTACTCAAGCAAGGTAACGTGCTGTGCTTGACTTCTCCTTTCCCTTATATACAATTAAACGTTCACAGATACAAGTCTTAATCTTACCTGCTCACAATTCATTAGGGCACAATTCTGCGCTGGGAACCAGGGGGAAGTGTTCTCTCTCTCTGAAGTTTGCTGTAAGGGAAGAAAAGTTAATTTAAATCTCCATTTTGTCCAGTTTCTAGGATGAATTCTACAATAAAGCAGAAGTAAAGTGCAGTTACAGCTGGTCAGTTCTTTGCAGCTAACAATTCTCTCAACATTTAAAAACAGAATGGAGAAAGATTTACTATAAAAATACTACCTTCTGTCCATTTCCTTTAAGAGAATTATCTTTAATAATACAGGAGATAACGTTGCTTATGTAAAAATCCCAAAATATTTATATTGCAGAGATACATCTACAATGCTATGAATATCTAAAGAAAACCATAACATTAATTTTCAGTTGCTGGAACAGAGTAAGAATACAGCCATCATTCCCTTAGTCTCTGCCAAAATAGATTAAAATAACAGGTATGTAACCAGAGCTAATCTCAGGCAAAATCAGAACCACATGCAATAGCTAATAAACCACCGTCAGCATATTACACAGCTAAAACTGTATGACTCGTACACAAGATCCACTTAAGCTGTAACTAAAAGTAGAAATATCACTTGGAATATATTGCACTACTGCCTCAAGAAAATTTTGTTTCAAGTATTCCAACCCAGGAAAGTCTTGGTGCTCACCATTGTTTTAATGGAACCAAACGAGGTAATAGCCTGGCGAAGGTAAGATGTGTCAGCCTCAAAATTCAGGATGGAAGACTCCTCTGGTTTAAGAGTAAGACCTCCCAGTCTGAAAAAAGAAAGGTGAGAGTTAAGGAAGAAAAAAAAAGACAGACAATCTTCTTCATCAGTCATTTTTGGGAATCAGTGCATTATTTCATAAAAAGGCTTCCAAGCTGACTTAGCACTAATTAGGTAACAGAAATACTTTTAATACTTGCATGAAAATAGAGATGCCTATCTACAAATTAAGAATAGAATAAATAGCCAGCAAAACAGAAGTTTCTCCTTCTTACTTCAATTACCATCAACAACTAATATTTGAAATAATCTGCACAAGTGAGTACCTCCACTGCTCGTTACGGTCCTGTTTTTTCAATCTAGGGTAGAAAAGATGAGAAGAATCCTATCTCAGACTGCTTTAAAGACCTTATTTCTAAGGACCATTAAAAATGTGGAAACAGTGAGTTAGATCTATCATTAGATCTATCAGAATCAAAAATTAAATTAAATTCATAAGTCAAAATAAACACCAATTGTGTTAACTTGCATCAAAAAATATATTTACCTCTCCAGGCAAACTGAAATCTGGTTTGCTAGTTCGTTACTGTAGGAGCGTTCCAGCTGATGAATAAGGCAATTGAATTGTCCCAGATACTGCACGGAAGATAAAACACACGTTACTGTTCTGGCTCCTAAGATTAAAATTGAGAAAATACGTGCAAGGAGAAAGTTTACTTAAAAGTGCCAGTGCAACAATTTGCAAGCAGCTCTTACCCAGTAGAGCTGCTGTGCCTGCTGCTGCAAGGCCTCCTCTTTCAGCTGCTGAATGAGATCCACCTGCTCAAACAGCCAAACCTCCCGGCTGCGCAGGCATTCCAGGTGCCGGCTGATGTGGCTGTGAATCTTGGCTTTCACCTGCAAGGTAACATGCGCTGTGTCTAGAACATCTGCCAAGCAGTATGAGCAAGCAGATGCTGTGCTGATTACAAAACTGCATTTGTCACAGAGAAGTGGTATTTTTGGAGCAATTTATTTCTCAAAAACTAACCACAGTTACCCCGGCACCACATGACTCAAGTTAGTAAAAGTTCCAAGGCTGCCTTTAAAGAAGTATCAATGAACAATATCTCTCTATTCCGACATTTCAGCCGGCAGCTTTAGTAAATTCTGCGTGCCTAAGCCAGTAATACCTTTATCAAGAGCATGACCAAATTACACAGCAAGACTCTAGGAAAATTTCAGACCATCATCATAATAGAAAGTGCTCTGGAACAATAAAAAACGTCATTAAAGTCATATTAGTTATTAAAACATTTTGTAAAAGAATTTAAAATTACCTCTTGCCAGTTCTCTTTAATCTGCTGTTCAGCTTTGACAATTCCAGATATAGCTGTTTCCAGGTCCTTCTTTGCTTGAAGGCACTTCGCCAGAGGCTCACTGCTGCAGGAATTTCTACTTCTATCTTGTGGTGGACTCATTCTTGAAGTGTTCCTAAAACACAATAGAAAAAAAAAATTCTTAATAGTTTCTATTCCTCTTTAAGGGAAGAGAAAGAACCATCTGCTTCACTATAAAGGTGAACAAAAAAACCCCTAAGACTCTAGGCTGATACATGTTTTCTAAATAGATAGAGCTTTCTCCAGGGGCCACAATGGTCTCTCAAACAGCTCGGCCCATGGATTTTGCACAATCACAGGAAAAGCAACAGATATTTGACAACAGCTTCAACCGCAGAAGCTTAGGCAATCCTCCCCTGCCATTCACCTCCCTCTGCCTTTTATGTCTAGCCAGCAAACTCCAGCAGCTGAGGGCTGATCCAGGCAAGGTTCAGCAGCTCTGCCGGAGCTGAGGAGAATGGCCTTTCTTCAGCTGCAGGCAAATGAACTGGCTCCCGTAAATGAGAAAATTCTAATACAGTTGATCAACTGAAAAACCAAGTGTGGATCCACAGATTACTAAGCTGCAAAGGCTGAAACTTAGAGCTGCTGCTCACTATTTTTGTTGCAGTCACAGCCACAGTAACTTACTGAGCTTCAGCATGTCCTTAAAGAAGTTACAATGGTAAGAATTCTGCAAGTAAGGGAAAAAAGTTAAATATGGATTTTTAGTAAAAATGGGAAGTGCCAATACAAGCATTTTTAATAAACAGTGGGTATTTTGTTACTGAAGAGTTTCAATTCTCCTGTTTGTTTCATGGGTTCCTGAAGCACTAACTAAAGATTCATAGTGAGCATTCTGTTTAAAACAAGTCTTCAGCAATGACAGCCGTGGAAATTCCCAGCTAAATTACTTAGAGTGTACATATGGACTAATCTAAACATTTCATAGATTTTACCACTCCTCTGGAGGAAACTGAAAACAGTATTTTGAATATGACAAGACAACCATGGAGCTTGTGTAACTGAGCAGCTCTTTGGGCTTCAGCTTCCAAGCCCCACGACCATATAAACTGCAACCCAAAAATCCTTCTACAGCCAAGACCCAGAAGATCCACATAAATTGTACATTTCAGAGAGCAGGGGGCTGGGAGTAGTTTGCCAGGGGAGCTGACAGAAAAAGCAAGGTTTGTGATGAGGCAGTGGCAGAGGCCACATCTCCCTTGGTTCCCTCCACACCACAGGCTCCCTGGAGCACCCAGTCACGAGACACGGAGCAGGAACAGAAGCCACATCAAGCCCCTGCACCCAACTCAATCCCACCCTCACAATGTCTCATTTCTAGGAAGCGCAGAGCACAACTACAAAAGAAGCAAACTTGAATTTATTTTTTAAGCTTATGTTAACTCTACACCAAATTACTCAAGGTGCAGAAGTCCAAAACGCATCATTCTCCATTCTCTGCTACGAATGCCAGTTTTGTCCTTGCATTCACATACTCTAATTCATTTGCAGGTTCAATTCTGTAAGGTTTCATAATCTACACCTTGCTAGTGATGTTCAAATAAAGGGAAGGTTTCTCTTCGCAACACCCCTTAGATTTTATCTTGCTTGTCATCTCTCTCATGTACAATCTACAGGAAAACATAAGTGAGAGCCCTAGCTCTCAGGTATAATCTACAAGTACAAATGCAGAGGCAGAGATACACACAGCCAAGAAAACAAGGACATTAAAAGCTGTCATATACTCAAAAGTAAACAAAAAAGTATTATTGTTCTTTATTATTTCATTCACCATACTCTTATGTAAGAAACGATCAAAGTCTGAAAGGCTAAATATAATTGCCATGCTTGCTTGCACAGTAGAGAATGTACTTACAAGAGTTTTGTGAAAATAATATTAAGCTGTGTATCTACAAATGCCAAGTCCAAAGTACGCTGCATTGTCATTTTCTGACTTCATGCCACTAAGGAATTGGCCCCAGTGCCTGAAGAAATGCTACTTTTTCAGAGTCTGCAGGAGCAACTTCGTACTGACACAGTCAAATTTAAGAAACTTACACGTGCTCCTCTAATGACCTCTGAAAATACTTGCACTTGATGCTTTTCTGATTTTTCATTTGAATGCAAGACTCTCTCCGAAATGCACACAGAGAGAACGAACGCTGCTTTCCTCCAGCCAGCCAGCTCTTGTAAAATGGCTGTTCTCATGCTTTGTCAAAAACTAGGCAATACAACTAACATTACAGTTGAGGACGAGAGTCAATCCATCCTTCATTTTAATTTCCACAAGCCTCTAACAAAAACAAGCTGGGGTAACCACCTATTTCCGTGCTTCCTAATTATCACCAAATAGCAACAGGCGTTTAAGACACATTCGGGTCCCATGGTCTGAAATACCCGGGATCACACACGCAGCAGGATCACACACGCAGCAGGATCCACGGCTACAAAAGAGTCACCATTTTTGGCCATTTCCACACCAGGGAACTGCTCCCAGCCCCAGGGTATCCCACCAGGGACATACAGCCCCACAGGAGGCACACCCCCCCAAAACCAGCCGACCCTACACTTGCATTGCGGGGCGAAGGACGCAATCCCGCAGCCCTTTCCATGTCCCCCCCCCGACCCTGCCCAAGCTCGGAGCCCCCAGCGGCTGTTTCTCAATCCCCGGGCAGATTCCGCTCCGAAACAACTTACTCTCCGGCGCGGACGCGACCCGATCCCGGTGTAGGCAGGCGCAGGAGCCGGCGGTGGCTCGGTCCCCGTCCCTTATCGCGGCGGACAGCCGGGCCCCGCCCCGCCGCCACAGCGCCCGGCCGCCCCCGCACGTCGGCAGCGCCCGGGGGAGGCGCGGGAGGGA